CTTCAATGTGAAGAGGGTTTTCTCGGACAAAGTCCGCCGAGTCCTCAGTCTTACTCGTTCAATGTAAGCTATAAAAGGAAACAATATATATTAAAAACTTGCTTCTTCGAAATCACTTGTCTACTAAATTGACCACGCCCGATTTCTAAATTTACAAAGACTTTCAAAATATTAACTTTACTTTTAACAAAAATATTACGTTAATTAAATATATTATTGAATAGATACTATAATGAATTAAACTTATATTTATACGCGAGTACTTACATTATTTGCTTTTGGCTCTAGTGCCCGCTACCTCTTTTAATTCCTATGCTGGCTAGGTAAAGATATAGGTGTACAAATGTTCGCTGTGCTCGCTCTGGCCGCTCTGTTCAAAGTGACCAGTGCACCAGGTAAATTACCCTACATTCAATACTAGGTATTCTATACATAGACAATGCGTACTGGACAAACAGGTTTACAACACATTACATCACATCCGCTCAGTACCTTACTCGCATTTACGCGTGCTATTTCCGCGCGCGCGCTAAAAGTTTTGCCGCAACGCGTGACGTACAAAATTACACGGAAGGCTGATTTCCGTTACATACGAATGCGTATAGCTAAATAATACAAATATATTAAAAGTAATAATGACAAATAATGACACTACTACATAAATCAGTGATCGGTGGCAAGGTCACGATTATATAATCAAATTGTAATGACAGTAATATCATGGCAATACACATGTCTGTCAGCGATGTACAGTAACATTCTGCGCTCCGTGTACTGTCAGGATATTATACATGGTCGGGGCCTAAAGATGTTTGACTGGCGCGTGCACATGACATGTTTACAAGAAAGAAACACAGTTATCGATGACATGTGACTTATTTATGTACAAATTGTCCGACATTGATGACAACAATGGTCGCACATGAGTTGTGTGTTCAAACAATCCGAAACGTGTGTAAGCAGGGTTCGAATTATCACTAGACAGAAAATTATTATTTTTATTGTTCAAAAATTGTGTTTGAACTATTTGCCTATTCGAACTATCCGCCTATTCGAACTGACCGCAGGTTTACAGTATGTATTTATTCTGTATATGGTCGGATAAACAAGCATTTCGTCATCTCAAAAAGGTTCACTTTAAAAGTATAACATTCCACCTTGTGTATGAATGAATGAACAAACATTGAAATGGTGTGTTCCTCTGTTTACAAGTTGCATCAATGCAGAATGCCTCTTTTATATAAATATGTATGTATAATGTGTATAAATATTGTATTTCATCTGTCCTCCAATGACACAGCTGATCATGAAACAATGCTTCTGTTACAAATTAAGTCCATACAGGAAATCCCGCTATCAAACTCACTGTATATTCGTAAGTTTTCGCTGCAGTTCAATTTTTGCATTTTTCGCCCTACATATTGAGGGCAAATTGATAATTACACCGAACATTTGTAAAAACCATAATACATGTAGTAATTAAATGCGAGGGTCGAAAAAACATGGAGGAAAAATGCATTTTACTGTCAAAGGGCGAAAACTTACTAGTATACAGTACACCTTGCTACCTGGTATTCATTCTCTGATAATCTGTATTGATCACAACTTTTGTATCCATATAGCCGATCCATCGAGTGCACAGCTGAACATGAGGGGGGTGTTTCTACATGTGTTGGGAGACGCCCTGGGGTCGGTGGTAGTTGTCGTGTCTGGACTGGTCATCTTGTTTGTAGAAGACGACTGGAAGTATTATGTGGATCCTGCTATGAGGTAAAGTATTATTTTAAGGACATTTTATTCATGTGATGGTCGTACCCTGACTTGTTCTTTAAGGATCCCCATCCCTCCGCCTAAAAATGTAATGAGGCATTGTTATTTTCCCCCTACGGCATCACTATTGCATAGGCAAATCATTTCTGAACATTTGCGGAAGTTTCTTCAGAATTTTTTGGGAAATTATGAACCAAAATATATATTATTTGATTCAACAATGGTTTATTAGAAATATAACACATAAAAAATAATAACAATGTCAATATTGATGAATAAAACACAAAAAAATGAGTAATTTTCTAACAATAATACAAAAACAAACAAAAATGCCCATTACATGAATCAATAAAATTCTGAGTGCCAATGCAACACGTTAGGACAACGAAAAGAAAACTTATGTGACAAAAATAAATATCTTTCAGACTTAATTATTCTACAAAAATATTGTAAAGATACAAAAAAACTAAACAAAAAAGAGACAACTCTTACATTTGTATCAATAATAATTCTAAATCCCAAAAAGTCATATATACAATTTACAACATACAATATAGCACTTTTTGTATGCAAATATAATACAGTAGGCATTTACCAACCAATGAAATTACTTCAAATGTAATAACCAATATAAAACAAATTGCACATTGTGTATGGATATTAACATTATAACAAACAATGTACTTTACTGTGTCATAGCAAAAATGTCACAATGAACAACAATAACAAAGTTCCACATACTTTACACAACAATAATAAATTTCTACATACTGTACAAATAACATACTATGTTGTGATATAAAAAAATCACTTTTACATTATGAACAGATAATTATAACAACATACCATGTTGTGATATGAAAAAATATCGCACTATATAGCAATAATAAACTTTTACATATGTACAAATAACAACATACCACTGTATAGCAATAATAAACTTTGTCATTATATACAGATAACAACATACTATATATATATTGTGGTATAACAAATATCACACTATACAACAATAGTACCGTAAATTTGCGCGTATAGTGCACACTTTTTTAGGTAAATATTGTCATGTCAAAAAGGGGGTACGCACTATATGCAGGAACGAGTCATTCTTGGGTTATCGTTTTCAATGATAAGATTGAAGTTTAAAATAACAACAAAGAATGAAATTCTTTGGAGACACAATTTTTACCTTCTCTTAAATGATTAAAATCGGTAATCTGTGGTCGTGACTGATGATTTGGCGACAAACACTAGCTGGGCATGTAACATTTTTACAGGTAAGTTGACCGGAGGGCATACTGTCTGATCCCGGACAATAGGCTAGGTAGGATCGCTTCAGCGAAAATTATTGACACTTCTCAACATCACAGTTAATACAAATTACAATGCAGTAATTAGCTAACACTCTTTCAGTGATTACCAATTAACAAAAGCTCTAAGAAATTTAATTGAAATTATTTGCAGTCGCGATCGAGGGACTGTGTTGTTTTCACTCAACACGTGGCGTGAAGCCCTACTGCACTGTTAGAACTACAGACTGATTTGACGGTAAAGGAATTATAAAAAATATGTTTATACTAGAAGCGTGGACATTCAACACATCCCCTTCAAATCTACTTGAAGGAAAAAAATAAAAGCAGAATACACTATTTTAATGATGCTTCATAATATTGAAATAATTCACGAGGTTATCGATCACGTCAACATGAAAGTCAGCCGGGAAAAACATACACACTAGCTATATAGGCTTAGCGATTTGGTAAAAAAACAACTGAACTAACACGGAACGGAGCCTATACTTGAAAAACTACATTTCGTAATTATGAGAAAACCGCTAAGATGTCGAAACATAAGTTGATCGTCGATTCTCTGGCATCGGAATTACCAGGTTGCTACACTTTCTTCGTTTGGTTTCTGCAGGATTCGTCCACCAAACGGTACGGAGGGCTTGTTGACTCCAATCAATCAATCGTTAATTAATCCGCGTTATAAACACCAAGCTACCTTTGATGCTACTTTGCCTGTTTGATACCGTTTACATCATGTACAAATAACAACACAGGATATTGTGGTATAAAAATATCACGTTGGGGGTTGGCGATAAAGAGTTATGCTAACAAGGGTCATAGGTCATGCCCTTGATCCAGTGCAAAACTCTTCTTCGCCATGTGGCGGTTTTTGCCCCCCTCCTGCGATAGTCATAGAATCACTATTGGATATTGCACAATGACTACATGTATTTTAGGTCAGTGTGTAGTGACATGTAGTGTATACATGTTTGTTCTTTATGTCGTTTTGTGAATAAACGGCCTATTTCATATCACACTGGTATTACTGGTTGTCATTTGCTTTTTGTATAATGAGTATGGCTTGCTGTGTGGCTAGTGTAAAGAATCGCACACTATAAATAACATAGGTCTATTGAGCATATAATAACAAATATAAAATATAATCCTGACTATTGTGATGTCGTGTGATGCACTTACTTGTATGTATAAAATACTTCTCAGGCCAGATCCTCATCAGACGTCGGTGTCGGCTCATCAGTCAAATTGTCAGTAGTATGGGCCACAGAGGTCAGCATTGTGTGAACGAGTGTCACTTTTGTTTCGTCGCATAGTCCTGGTTAGCAGTTGATATTGGACATTGTTGTTGTTATTATTGTCAGTTAATGCGTTTAGTTTACATTTAAAGCGACCGTTTTTGTGTCGGCCATGAGATGACTGCCACAACAGCTTTTTCCACACTCGCGATTGGAGATTTTCAACGTAAGGTACACAACTCTGTTGTCAAAAACGTTATTCAAACGAAATCTATTCAAGGGAAGATAACAACATTGTCGAAATGGTAATCAGGGACTCTAACACTGAAAAACGACAGTGGTATTCTTTAGTGTTTTGCTCTGCCTGGGATGGATCCTTAAAGTTGTCTTCAGTGTGGGACACACGTAAATAATAACAACAGACAGTGTAACCTCATTGCCAAGTTTTATTCCGTGAATTGTCGAATTGTCGAATTGGTAAAAGTCTACAACATACAAAAAAATGTGACCGATTAGATTTAGGTATAAGCACATATGGCAAATCAAATCATATTTGAAATATATGCGGTACACAGTACTACACACCTGGAATGGACATAAATCCCCGCGAAACCAGGTCACGATTGAAAATATGATCAGTCACCAAAGACACATGAGTTTCCAATTAATACTGCATACTATCAACACATTTCAATATATACCAGAAACCCATATCGCAACAGTAAACTTACACTGTGGTTGGCTACAGCTTATAATTGCAGAAAAATGTGAGGATCTCACTGTGGCAGAAACCATGCCGTCGAAAAACATAAAGAAAACAAGATTTCCACAAAGGGAGATAACTCTTGTGTAACTCTAAAGTTCATTAAAGTTGCATGCATCAAAGATAGATAATAAAACATCACACTCCCCGTCTGATATCTTATTATTTGATATCACTACTAAATTCTAAGGAAACAGTAACAAAATGTTCTAAAGAAATATAGCCTTCAAGCCTGGGTTTGTTTGCGGTAACATTGGCAAGTTGTCTTATATGGAATATACTGAAAGCCTTGCATATAACTAACAGAAAACCAGAGAAACATCTTCTACACCTAAATATACTAGTCTATTCACACCGAAGTTAGGGACACCAATTCTGTAACTGGTCTTGTAAAAACATGAGATTTCCCATCTCGTGCAATATGAATTTCAACCTTCCGGACAAGTCCGTCATCACTGGCACAGTATTGTCCTTTAAGAGGACCACATCACCCTTCTATAGGTTAGGTGCCTCGCTTTGCCCCTTCCTTCGTCCTTGTAATGTATGCAAGTATTCCTTTCTCCACTGAGACCATATTCTGTTAGACAAATACTGCATTTGCCTCCACTGATGTTTGTAAAGATCTTTGACGCTGAAATCCTTCATGGCGAATGCCTTAACGGAGTGGTCAGTTTTCATGGTGAGTAGCGTCGCTGGCGATAACACATACGGTGACTCGGGATCTGTTGAAACAGGAACGAGAGGTCTCGCATTGATGATGGCACTCACTTCTGCCATAAGCGTGACTAAGACATCATGCGTAAGGTTCTTGCATGGTAGGTCGGACAATATTGAATCCAAGATCTTACACGACACCCCGTTCATCCTCTCCCATGCACCGCCCATGTGGGAGGAATGAGGTGATTTGAATGCCCATGTGGTTCCTGTGTTGAAGAGGAAATCTCTCATAGGCCCATCCTCTACATTTATAGAATCGATACGCATGTCCTCGGTTGCGCCAACTAAGATAGTTCCGCGGTCAGAACGGAATATTTTGACATTTCCGCGTATTGCTATGAAACGTCTTAAAGCATTGATAAAGGCTGAGGAAGACATCTCATCTATGACCTCGATGTGAATAGCACGGGTTACAAGGCATGTACATATTACAGCCCTTCTTTTGGAGTTAGCTTGTCCACCACAAGTTTTACGGGCAACGATTAGCCAGGGTCCGAACACATCCAATCCAACGTTTGTAAAGGGTGGGGCAGCCTCCAGCTTATCCTCTGGTAAATGTGCCATTTTCTGGAGCTGAACATTCCCGCGACGTTTTCTACACAACACACACTTGTGTAACAAGGAGTTGATCAGTCGCTTCACACCAGTTATCCACAATCAAGCGAACCGTATCGCGCCATCAGTGAAGTGACGTCCCATATGTTTTACCTTTTCATGATGATAGCGTACAAGTAGTGTTGATACATGGTGACCTCCTGGCAGAAGGATGGGGTACTTGTCCTTCATGTCTGCTGACATCTTCCAAAGACGACCGCCAACCCGTAAAATCCCTTTCTCATCCAGATAAGGATTGAGAGATATGATGTGACTAGTCTTTAGCATCGGGTATCTTTTCCGTAGACAGAGTATCTCAGATGAGTAGATTTCCTTCTGTACAGACTTGATGATAAATCTTTCGCTCTCTGCCCAGAAGTCAAC